TGGAATACAGAATAGCTTCAAGTTTTACAGTGAATTGTTTATTTTGAAAATCAATATTGATTGTGTTATTTTGCTGGAATTTGAAGATCTCACTTTCTCTTCACTGTTGAGATTTATGCAGTTACTTGTAGCCCAACACATCCGGCACTAGTTGCAATGGGTGGAGGAGACGATAAAGGGGTTCTTTGGGGGATTGGTGAAGGAGATTGGGCTTCTAAACTCCAAAGTACAGGGGTCCAAGCTGGCATTGAATACTCTCATTCTAGACCTTGGCCTTTTGTTGTATTCTTCTGTTGGTGCCAGAAGTTTTTTCCAAGCCTAATTAGAAAAAGTGATAAAGGAGACAAAAAGTTTGGGTTTGATATCTCAATCTTAGTTTCTTATTAACTAATTCTCTTTAGAGTTTTTTTGCAGATGATGGAGATTTGATGTCTAGTTTAGCCATTAGTTTTGGTGGGCAGTTGCTTGCATCTGGAGGGTTTGATAGACTTGTTCAGATTTGGGGGCCATTGGGAAACCTCATTCATCGACTTGATGGTCCAGAAGGAGGCATTGAGGTATAACTTTCCAATTAGTAAAATACTTGCATGTTTGCTTTCTCTGGTGCTTAAGGTTGAACAATCTATTGGCTCTGATGATGTAACCTTGAGAATATGGAATCCAAAAGATAGTGAAAGCATTTGGTTGTAAAACGTATGTGTTTGCTATCCAGTTTGGGTTTTCCTTTTTTTATTTCTTTCTTTTTTGGTACATTTGATTGTAGACTATACAGGGGGTATATACCTCTCCTTTCTTAAACCCCTTCCCATCAGTCCCAAGGGTTTAACCCTAGACTTCCAATTTAAATGTCTCAAGTTCTAATTGTTGGGACATTCCCAAAGGGAAAGTTTGAGATTTTCTTATGGTCCTTTTCTATTTCATTTTTGAATAGTAAATGAAGTTTGAATTTTGAACAACAGAAATGAAAGTAACAAAGATTGAAGAAAATATTGTAGGGATTGAAACTCTACATGTAAAACTTACCTAGCATGAAGAAACATTCTCAATATACAGAACCTTGAACATGAGAATAGCATGAAGCTTGACCTTTCTAGTTACGCGTGACTAGTTGACTGGTTAAGGTCCTCACTTCATAAGTAATCAACAGTTAGCTTTGCTATGACCAGCGTAAAACAAAACAACCATAGTCAAGGCTAGCAACTACGCTAAAGGGAACTAGGCTTGACTCTTAGTCACTTATTGAAAGAAATGGCTATATTAATTTTCCGTACTGTTCTTCATTTCTTTGAAGTTTCCAATAATGAATCTTTTTCTTTAATAGCTCATCCACATCATACCGAAGGACTAACATGCTTGGCCATAATATATAATTAAAGAAGGAGAAAGAAAGCATACTGTGGTCTGAGGGGAAGGAGGATCAGCTTGAGGGTCTGTTGGTGGATCTGTCTGTTGTTTGTTAGAGGATCTGCAGCATGTTCATTAGCTGAAGATTCAGGGTAGCAAGCTGCAGCTGCATCATTAACTTTGCCATCTATGCAAGGCTTTTGTTGCATTTTGTTTATTAATGCCCAAACACTTGAGAACAGCCTTAATGGCCACCTGAAGAAATGAAGGGTAGTTGAGTAGGCAGCAAGAGCTCCTGGCTTTGTCATCGCTCTCCTTGATGATGGCTCCTTCATTATTACCCCTTCTTTGTTTCTCAACCTCATTCTTCTTTACCTTAAACTCTGATTATATAATCTCGTGCTTAAATTTGCTTCTGCTGTTTTGTTGTCTGCCTCATCTTCTCCTCCTAATTTAAATGAGTAGCTTCATTTTTAGAAATAATAGAAGTACTAAACTAACAAACATTTTGGTCTTGGCCACCTAATGGGTTTCTCTTAAGTAGAAAATTCCCCTTTGATCAGTACATTTTTTGAT